AAAAAAAAAAAAAAATATGTATGCATAATTTTAATTTTATACTATTAGGTGAATCATAGACTTGCCCTTTAAATCTGTCTTAAAATCTGTCTTTATTATAGATCACATCATTTATACTATGCGTTTCTTAACTCACATTATATTGTTCTCCTAGTCATCCCTGTTGTACGAAAATACCGAAGAAACGCTACATTAATTAGTCTGCATTTTATTTTTCCACTCCAAGACATCACTAGTGCAACGGGGATCTGAGAATAGTTTACATATCTTGATTCACGTTCTTCTGGGGAACCCATAAGGTACTGCGTCAATGGACGTGTGTTTCACATAATGTATATCTTGAAATAGTATTGTCTAATCTTACAAGAATATGCTCAATTAGAACCAACTTGACTAATTTGCATAAACAGATTGATATTGACAGATAAATTGCAAGAATCAGTATAGACATTTATTTTTGGAATTTTATATTTATGACTAGATAATATTGGTACAATTTATAAGAACTTTCAAACGAAAATATTTTATTTTTGCCTGGCCAAGAAACAAATTTTTTTCAATTCCTTTATAACGAAAAACAAAACCTTTCTTAATTTCTTAATTTAAACTCAATATATACTGTCAGACATTTTAATGAACGGTAACTTGTAATCCAAAATACAAAATTGCACCTTATTCGTCGTCACTACCAATAATTGCAACTCTGTGAGAATCATAGGGATGTTTTTGGATGTATTACTCACGTTTTAAATATTACCCACTGTTTAAGATAATTTTGGGACTTCCATAATCAGTGTGCATGGCGCAAAGCAAAGGACTGACCTGCCAAGGGTACTCTTTATTATATATATTAATCTATATAGTGTATATATAGTGTTTGCTTCTAGCTTAATTTCAGATAAGTGTGTGTAAATAAAGCAATTATTGCAGGCACAAGGGTTGCAGACACAACCGTTCACCATCATATCTAATTCCTTCATTTCTACTCTTACTGCACTAAGGCAACATTGCCGCACAGGTATACTACATAACCCAAGCACTCGCAAACGTCTAAGTGACCCATGATGTTAACTTCCACCAAGTTTCATACTCGCTTATATTTTCGTGGTTTCCGATATATATGGCATGAGAAGCTAAAACTAAAGAATTATATTGCAGGCTAGAACCGGGTTCTTTTAGTGACTATGTTCCACATATAGCTCAGTCATTTTAGAACTATGTAAAATCATTTTAGAACTAAATATTATAGTATAATGTTATAATTCCCTCCGGTACGACTTAACGATATCTTAATCCCTCAATCTACCCAAGTGAAATATTTAGGAATACACTTTGACACAAAACTAACTTGGAAGCACCATATTTTTACCAAAAGAAAAGCACTTGGCATCAGAATGCGGGAGCTCTACTGGATACTAAACAAAAGTTCAAAGCTTTCCGTGGAAAATAAACTTCTTATCTACAAAGCGATACTCAAACCAATCTGGACATATGGCATTGAACTCTGGGGAACTGCTGCATCTTCAAATATTGAGATTATTCAACGTTTTCAATCAAAAACCCTTAGATT